CAAAATTTAAATTTTATGACTGTACTAAATTCAGTATTTTGTACTAAATTTAGTACAGCAAACGGATAGCCATTAATATATTTAATAGTCGATATAAAGAATTTGATCATGATGCTTACTTACTTGGATATTTTTTACATCCTGGTTATTATGAATTGGGGTTAAAAGCAGGAACATTTAAAAAATTTCTAAAATTGCGTCTGAATATTGAAAAGCTTTAAGAAATAACAAGAAACATGTTTAAATTTACTAGCTGATCTTAGGAAATACAAACGGAATGATGATCCTTTTAAAATGGAATTTAAAAAAGGAAGTGAAACTGCGCTTGATTGGTGGCTTATACTTGATGATGAAGATGATGAAATACCTTTAGTTAAACTCGCTATTAAATTGTTTTCAATAATGCCTTCTCAGGCAGGATGCGAAAGAAACTTTTCTATGTTAGGATGGTTTTATGGAAATAATCAGCATAATCTTGATGTTAATAATATTGAATCAATGGCAAAGATTCGATCTTATTATTTAGCAAATATCAAAAAGGAATTAGTTTACTATGGAAAAGATTTAACTCAACAGGAATTAAGAGATTCAGTAAATGGTGCTATAATTTCTGATATCGATGAGCTTTTATTTCCATTGGATAATTTAACATTAAACGATCAAGAACATTTACTATCAAATGATCAAGAAACTATTCTATCAGAGGTTGAGCAGACTGATAATATACTCTTAATTTCAGAAGTCATTGATCTTACTAATATATCATTTGACAATGATGGTCAATTGCAAGTTGATAAGTTGACACAAAATATTAAAAGCTTGGAAATATGGATTATAATATAGATGATTTAATAAATAGAATGTTCGAAAAAATAATGAATTCGATTGTAATTATATTTATATAGTAGTTATATATAAATTCTAATACGTATGTAAAGAATTTATAGCACAATAGCGATAGATTGATATTCATAATATAGATAATGTGCAGTCTATATTTAATTAATAAATGCTTTATATTGTACGTACTGTACGTACATACGTATATAATTTATTAAATAAACATTATCGGGCTTTGAAAACCACAATAATTATTAAAAATACAAAAATATAATTAATTTTGGTATTTTTGATTTTATAATACAAAATTAATTTAATTAAGTTTGCAACGCTAGTAAATAGTTATTCTTATTATTACGTGTATTATTATTATTTATCAAATTTCGTCATTATTGTATCAATCATTAATCCTAATGTCGGCAAATAAATTTAAAAACCGATTACGTACACAATCTTTGTTGGCGATACTAGGTGGGTCTATTAGAGGTCGGGATCGGTTACTATAATTCAACTTTAAATTCGCTTAAACCGGTTTTAATAGTAAATCGGTTTGATAGTAACCGGTTTTAATACCCTATAAGAAAAATGTACTAAAATTGTACGGGTTGGCGCGGAATGGCACGGGTTTCGGTGGCACGGATCAAGCCCGGACCTTGTACGTAAGAGGCTCGAATTGGTTCGGATTTTCGGCTCGTGTTGGGTCCGTATACCAGTGCCAATTGGACCGTTAATGGCTCGGGTATTGCAACACTTTACTAGTCCAAATGGCACGGGTTTTGCTACGGGTATACGTAAATTCACGTACCACTAAATTTCAATTATTCATACTAAAACATAAATTAAATCAATAATCATCAATATAGTACGTATTTGAAATTAAAGTAATTGCATTGTGTAAAATTCTGCAAGGAATTTTTTTCGTTAAGATACCCAGAACAATTTTATCGGTGAAATTTTTGAGATATTGCATTTTTTTAAAAAAAAAAAACATTTACTGATCCTTCGCTCTTGAGATACGTGCATATACGTATCATTAAATACGTGCCATTCCTTAAGACGTGACAAAACGTGCCACCACTTTACCGTAATGTCCGTATCATTTTTAGCCGTGCCATCACGTAAAATGAGCCTCTACGTGCCACACATCCGTACCATTTCG